TTTTTTGAACTTTATACACACAGCAAAATTGTGTATATAAAGAGAATTTCTGAATTTGCATGTAAGTGATTCTAATTTCTTGCTACTCTCAGCACTGCAGCGAAGGAAGACTGAGAGCCTATCTCTGCATATTTTTCTCCAGGGCAACATTTCTCTGTAAGAGTGAATGTTTGGTTTGGTTGCAACATGTAGAGGCTTATTAGATGTGCTCTTAGGGGCATACTAATTGAGAATAGGCATCTCATTTTTAAGTTCTTCCTCAGCAACTGTAAGAGTTGTAAAAGTTCTACCTTTAGGAGTAGTGACTTGATTCTGCGGGAATGCTAAATGTTCTGCCGCCAGCCATGAAGACTTGACATTAACCCCTATCTAGAATGCACTTGTATTAACCATGTCTACAAGTAACAAACAAGAACCCAGATACAGAAATATTATTTGCTCTGATCTGGCGACAACATTGAAGCACTTAATTTACTGAGCTGCCTTGTTTTTCTCCCGTCATTCTGTTGCCAATTTCACTTCCTGGGCTGTTTTCCTGTTTGTCTTGTCCCGATTTTCAAGAAACAAGCAGAACACTGACAAGGAAACTCCATATTCTGACTATTTTACTTTTTGACTTTTCTTTCTCTCTAACTTTTAGCTCTGGAAAAAATACTGTGAGCTTATTATGTTATCTCTATAATACCATGACCATAACTCAGAGCATGAAGTACAAAGGAAAAGACGTGCCTAACAGAACAGGAACATTCTGTTAATGGCCGGACCCAGAAGACTGGTTTGGAGTGGGAACATCATAGTAGTACTGACAAGGCAACTCATTTTCTTAAGTGAGAATACCAAACCTGATGTCAATTTCAAAAAGGCCTAATTTTACTAATCCTAATAACCAATTAAAAAAATAAAATCCTGTTTTAAAAGAAGGAATCCTAATGACTTTGAGGTAGACGATGTTATCAGATAATAAATTAGGTATAAGATAAAAATAACAAGACTGAGGGAATGAAAGCACTGACTTGAAATTATCTTCCTTTAAATTCATGTGGAAAATAAAGAACACTTTTTCCAATTCAAAGTTCTAAGCATGAAATCCAGGTATGTCATGTCATGGACTTGCTTCTTTAATTGGAGATGAACTCAGAGCCGATGGAAAGAATCCACAGCAGCAAACTACAAAGCAGTTGTACCACGAGGAAGCCAGGAACTTTGCTTTTGATTTTTCCAGCTTGGCTCAGTCCTGAATGTTCAGGATTTGGATCCCGAAAATCCTTGTTTAGCATTTAACTAATTCTTTGTTGGTGGAAGGGGCTGGGACTGTTTCTCCACACATAAACTGCTCCTAAGAACGAACAGAAAGTTACCTTAACCACTGAGTGTGTCACAAATGCATCAATAGTAAATTTTCATCTTGTTACAGAATCAACCCAGCTCTAAGTTTTTCCATCACTTCATCTTTGTTCAAAGAGTCAATGTCAGCACCAGATTTATAAGCTTCGAACTGAATCCGTTTTTAGTCATGAATTCATATTTAATATAAAATACCTTATCTTGTAAACAAACATGCTTATCTTCACTACAGAGCACCCATCTCTCAGAAATCACATTTATAAAGACACTGCCACACCTTTTAAGTTTTTGTATTAATTAGTACTTACACTAAAAGTTCTCAACTTCAATATTTGGCTATTCAAATGTCTGTTTTCTTCAAAATTATTACTTCTTCCAACTAAAAGGCTATATGCTGATAACTTTCAAATTTATAGCGCCAATCGATCACTCTTTGAACTCCATACTTACATATCCAACTGCCTTCTGGCCAGCTCTACTTGGATGAAAAACAGACCTCTCAAACATAGTATGTCCAACTCCTGCCCCTAAACCTGTTCTGAAGGCCACAAATGTTGAAATCATCCTTGACTCCTCTCATATCCTATATCCAGTAAGGAATCGATCCTTGCCCTGGCCAGTGTTGCTCAAGGGTTAGAGCATTAGCCTGAGCACTGAAGGGTTGTGGGTTCCCTCCCCGCTCCCAGGTTGGGGCGTGTGCAGGAGGCAACCAGTTGATGTGTCCTATCACATTGATGTTTCTCTTTCTCTCTCCCCTCTCTCTGAAAAGCAATGGGAAAAATATCCTCAGGTGAAAATTAACAGAACAAAAAATCCTTACCCTTTAAAGTGTATCTAGAATCCAACCACTCCCACTACCTCCATTGCTGCAGCTTGGTCCCAGGGAAACATCGCCTCCTTTGATCAGTCTAACAGCCTCCTACCTGGTTTTCCTGTCTCTATCCTTGCTCCTGTGTAGTCTATTCTGAGCTAAGCAGCCGGAACCTCTGTTTTAAAACGAGTTGGTTCCCGGCATTCCTTTGTTCTAAAATCCTCCATTGGTTCTCTCTATCACTCATGGGAAAAGCCACAGTCCTTAGAGCAGTGGTTCTCAACCTTCCTAATGCTGCGGCCCTTTAATACAGTTCCTCATGTTGTGGTGACCCCAATTTCATTGTTACAAACTGAACATAATTAAAGCATAGTGATTAATCACAAAAGCGATATGTAATTATATATGTGTTTTCCGATGGTCTTAGGCGACCCCTGTGAAAGGGTCATTCGACCCCCAAAGGGGTCGCGACCCACAGGTTGAGAACCGCTGCCTTAGAGTGTCCCACAACACCTCTGTGATCGGCCCCACTGCACTAATTCATCTTGGACAAGTCCCACCCTCATTTACTCTGCTCTGGTCACACTGGCCTCCTTGCTGTTTCTTGATAAAACCAAACATGTTTCTGCCTTTTCTTCACTGAACGTTCCCTTTGCCAACCGCTCTTAACCCTAATGTGTACGGAGCTCACTCCCTTACCACGCTCCATCTCTGCTCAATAAGGCCTGCCACGATCTCATACCAGCACTCTTGACCTCACTTACCTGTTCTTTTTGTTCCAGAACACATTTTAATACAAGAATAATCCGTAAACTTCTAATCATAGCCTAAATTATAGCCTGCTTTTCTTTCTTTTTTTAAAAAAAAATATATTTTATTGATTTTTTACAGAGAGGGAGAGGGATAGAGAGTTAGAAACATCGATGAGAGAGAAACATCGATCAGCTGCCTCCTGCACACTCCCCACTGGGGATGTGCCTGCAACCAACGTACATGCCCTTCTCGGAATCGAACCTGGGACCTTGAGTCCGAAGGCTGATGCTCTATCCACTGAGCCAAACCGGTTAGGGCTAGCCTGCTTTTCTCATGAGGCAAAGTGCCTTGTTCCCACCTTTCCTTTAATCTTGTTAGAGGTCATCCTTAAAAATGTCAAGCTGTTACATGTCAATTATATCTTAAAAAGAAAAAAGTATGTTAAGTTTAAGATTTTGTTCAAAGTACTGACCAAAAGTTGGGATGGGCAGTAATAACATTTATTTAGTTTTCTATTTTTAATGTCCTTGGAGGAAAAACAGAAGGACAACTGAAGACTAAAATGAAATTGTAAATCTGAAACTATGATTATATCTCAAACAATATAATATAGAGTTTTATCTAAGCCAAGTAAGAAATACTACACAACTGTTCCCTTCAAAATAAATCTAGGTGCTCTGAATAATTTTAATTACTGTTAACGAAAAAAACCACTGAAACCTGTAAAGAATTTTTGTGAGTTTGAGTCAAACTGTCGACATATCCTGGGAAGCAGAACCTCAACGAATTGAGATAATGCTCGGGAGAAGGGCGGGTTACATCTGTATTTATACATTGCAATCAAAGGAGGGACATTTGAGCTTTTAAGATTTTAATTTACGATACGGCTGTTTACTAATGGTTTTTAAAATTGGTTTTAAAAAACATAGCATTTACCTAACACACTGTTAGAAAACATTCTCCTGCACGTACACATTAGAGACTGCTCAAGGTTCTTGCACCACAACCTTCCCCCCACTCCCCCACCTTTTAAAGTTTGACCCCTTACTTTGTCATAAATCACTTTTATAATGAGAGAGCAGCTCGGACACGTCGCCACGTCTTCCCCGTTCTCCAAATCTTCCTACAACAAAATCAAACACTGTATGATCAGCATCGCCTTCCCTTTGCGAACTCCTCCCAAGCCCTCCCACCCCTAGGGGCAAGCTCCTTCGTGACTTGCCTCCCCCACAAGGTAGGTGAGGGTCAAAGAGGCTTTCCCAGAGAAATGCCAACCCCAATTTTCCCTGGCAGCGTCACCCGGGGAAATACTCCGGAAGGTTGGTTAAGGTTCAGTCGCCTCAAAATCTTTGGGAAGACAAAACGCGTCCCTTCCTGCAAAGAAATACCCAGGAAGGTGAACCCGAAGAGGGATGCTAAGTGGGGAGGGGATGGCGAGAAGTCTGATGCTCCCCGCCATCCAGCCCCTCCCTTCCCCTCCCCCACTAGGCCTGAGTAAAGGCCAGAAGGAAATGCCCATTGACAGCTGAGACTATAAATTGGGGGGGATCCATACACAGGATAAAAAGGGCGTGAATAATAAGAGCCGCGTGGGTACGGGCGGCGGACCTGAGGTTACCTTAGTGATGCAGAAGTTATCGCCACAAGGGCAGGGGTAGAAATACGTCTCCAGGTCCTCGTCATATTGGAAGTCCTCGATTTCCACCTCGTCGTGAAACACCGCCATTATTCTGGGGCCTGATAGGGGCCCCTACCGGCCGAAGTCGACCGGGGTCGGCCTAACTTCGAGGACGCCGGCCCTAGCCAGGTGTAAGCCACCACGCCCCGGCGCAGGAACGATCGCTTCCGGCGCCTAACAATGACGCAACGGCGGGCTTGGAAGCCAAATGGGTGACCCGGGCTGGTCACCATGGAGATGGCTGAACTGCCCAAGGAGACAGTGCAGGAGCTTGCTGGCTGCTCAGTGGTGTCGGGTACCGCTCCGCCCATTGAACGGAAGAAGTGACCAATAGCATGTGAGGATCGCGCGCGCTGCTGCTACGTCACGTCGGGGACACCGGAAGCTTCCTGGCCCCGGCGGAGTTTGGCTCTCTTTTGGAAGATCGGTGCCGGCAGTGTCGGCGGCGCGGAGCCACCTTGCTGCCGGGCTGTGGTTGCCGGCCTCATGTCCCTGGACCTTAGGCCGTAACCAGCCCCCGCCGAAGCCCGCAGCAGGCCGGGGTAGCACAGTCTGGGCCCTCGGCGCCCCTGGGGGAGGGCCCGCAGCCTCGCCTGGTCTTCGGCGGCGGGAGCAGCTCCGCCTTCTGGATCTCGGTGCCTTCCCGGCGACCGACGATTGGCTCCCTTGGAATTTCGATTCGCCGGGTGACCTTGCGCTCTGGGTGACGCCTCGCTTGTAGTTCGTGGCTGCTCTTGGCTGTTCAGGTATATCCCCGTCTGCTCATCACCCCAGATTATCGTCAAATGCCCGAAATTGGTGTTGCTGAAAGGACCAAGACCTGGGAGGCAGGTGGAGTTCTAGTTCTGTTTGCCAAGCATATGACATTATTTACTATAATGGTTTATAATAACAGTAGTAACCTTTTATTACAGGGAGTTCGCTTTGTGCCCGGTATTGCGCTAAGTATAGTTCTTCCACCAACCTTGGGAGTTTAGATGTTATGTCATATTATGAATCTTCATACTGAGATACAGAGAGTTGGGTGTTTTGACCAAAGTTATACACTTAGGAAATGAAGAACCTATCTGCCCCCAAAGCCTGGGGACACATAACTTCTGTGAACCACAGTTTGTTTCTTCTTTGTAAAAGGAATGGGTGGCATCAGCAGACAGTTACTACCACCTCGATGCCTCTTTATATTTGAAGCGAAATGCAAATAAAAGGTGCTTTGCCTTGGAAACGGTGCTAGTGCCTGTTTTGGTACAACTGATTTATGGGGTAGTGTTTCATTACCAAGTAGAAAATCAAGTCTTGATAGAGAAGGACTGCAGCGCCATGGAAAAGACGCTATGGAGAAGCTGATCTGGGTCCAGAAATCGGCTGTTGTAGCACTCGGAACTGGATACTTACATTCTGTTTGAGCCTTACTTCTTCTTCTGAATAAAAAAGGTTGGGTTAGAGATGATCTACAAGGTCCCTTTCAGATCTAACATTCTACTTCTGTGTAGGAATTAGGAGTTTTACTTGGTTCAGCCATCACATGTCACACGTACCATACTTAATTCTCACATAATACATATGTACACATTCCTATGCATACTTATGTATACACACTCAAATGCTTACGTGAAGCTTCCAATTTTGTGCACACAAATGAAGTTTCACCTGGGTTAGCCCTTTTAAGACTTGAAAATCTAGAGGCAGAGAAATCTTTAGGAGAAAATCTGGAAATTACATTAAAGGAGTTATAGTAGATTATTTCAAATGCCTCACAAATAGTCCACTTTGCATAACTGAAGATCGACCCAGAAGTTAGGAGACATCTTCAAACCTTTCATGGGTTAACTGAGATGATTCTGCTCTGTCTGAGCAAAGGAGAAATTCCAGCCAAGCGCTCGGCCCAGGGGCTGGTCCGTATATCTCCGTAGACCAGATATCTCCCAGTAGCCTCTTGGGGACAGGAGGCCACGGGAGAATCTCCAGTGTCTTATTCGGTAGTCTCCGTGAACATTTTGAGGTTGGGAACCATCCTTCGTTCTTCAGTGCTTCTGGGAATAAGTACCTAAAATTTAAAGATGAGCCATTTTTGAATGTACACCAATGAGTGCAGTCATTCATACCTGTTTTATGGAAGTATAAATCAGTAGACCTTTTAGAAAGCAATTTGTATCTGTCAAAAACAATTATCTGGGGAATCTTCAAATCTGAGGCCAGTAGTCCTAAAAGTTACAGGGGTTTAGGGTAATTTTAAAAATATTAATTTCTTTGTAATTTTCCAACTTTTCTTCAAGTATGTATTACCTAAAATGGAAGAAGGAAAACTAATGAAACACTTAATAATAATTGACACTATGTGCCAGGCACTGTACCAGAAAGCCTAAGCGACTGCCGACCGGCTGACCGGCTGGTAGCTATGATGCACAACGACCATCAGCGGGCAAGACGCTCAACGCAGGAGCTGCCGAGCTGCGGTGACTTGGCAGCTGAGGTTCTTGGGTGATGCACCAGGAACCAGAGAGGAGGGAGCCCGTTTTCGGGGTGTGTTACCCGAGAACCACCCTCTTGCAATCCAGGACTCCTCGGGGGATGTCGGAGAGCCGATTTCGGCCGATCCCCGCGGGGCAGGTCTAGGGACCCGTGCACCGAGCCTCTAGTACCGTTATAGCAGTCCAATGAGGTATAGGTATTAATCCCATCTTCAACGTTGGGAAACGAGGCTTAAGGGCTAAGGAGACTTGCCTAAATAAGCAAAGCTGTAAGTGGCAGTAGCTGTGGTGAGAACTCAGATCTGTCTGACCCCAGAACCTACCAGGGGTGGGCAAACTTTTTGACTCGAGGGCCACAATGGGTTCTTAAACTGGACCGGAGGGCCGGAACAAAAGCATGGATGGAGTGTTTGTGTGAACTAATATAAATTCAAAGTAAACATCATTACATAAAAGGGTACGGTCTTTTATTTCAATAGTTTTATTCATTTCAAACGGGCCGGATTCGGCCCGCGGGCTGTAGTTTGCCTACGGCTGAGGTGTTTCGTAACTTCAGTGTCATCTGTGATATGATGGTGTTGAAGCAGAGTTAGATTAAACAAATGGCCATGAAGCTCTTCAGATTCAGAGCAGTGCTGGTTCCCAATTTTGAGTTCATACTGTGCTGAAGAAAATAAAACCTTAGCCAAACATGTGATGCCATTTTTTAAAAATCCCCACAGCATTTTAAAATAAAAATTACAATGACTATTAAACTTTATACTTATCCTTAAAAGGTAATGAAAATATTCTGTTATGAGACATTTTTGGATCCCGAAGGCATGACAAAAGCAGACTTACTAGTTGCTATAGGATCATTTATGGCTGAAAAAATTTTTTTAATTATAAAATGTTAACACTACTGATCTGGAAAATAGCAGTGATCAAAATTCTTAACATAAGATCAGACTTAGAAATAAGTCATAATTGTGTCATAGAAACTATTTTATGAGTGCCTGTTGATTATCAGGCTAAAGGGAATTGTTTATTAGCAGTTTCAAACCACTACCTCTGGAGATTATTTGGTGAGGGGTGGGGGTGGGTGGGGAGGGGTGGGTAATGAATTTGGCTTGTTTTTTTTGTAATACTCCTGTTTGCCAGGCACTTCCCATAGAAATTTATTTCTCAGAGCAATCCAATGAAGTGGCGTTGGCATTCCCATTTAAAAATGGTAAGAGGCGACTGGCCCAAGATCAAAAAGCAGGAAAAAGTCATATCTGAGCCCTGTTCCATGGATTCCAAGTCAAGTACTCTTGAAATAACTTGTATGCCACTAGGTTCACTTAGCAAATGCCAAGAGCCCCTTTGCTTCTTCAGTGGCACCTAGGATTCTAAGTCAGCGGATACCATGATATTTCTATGAATTTACTTTATTTCAGTGCATTAATGGTCTTTGAGGCGCTCTTGGTTTTTCTCTTTCTCTCACTGCTCTCTTCATCCACTCAAACTATCAACAAGTCTTAGGACCTTAATTCTAAAATATATTCCATGTTTATCTACTTTTGTCATCTTTGTAGCTTAATCCTACACTAGAGCCTTCTAACTTGACTTCCTGCTTCAACTCTTGCCCCTCTATGATCAGTTAGTTCTTCACACAGCAGCCTGAGCAGTCCTTAATGTAAATTTGATCTTATCCCTCTCCTGGTTTATTCAAACTATTCAGTTGCTTCCCATTGCCCTTAGAATAAAGTTCATACCTTTACTGTAGCCTGATGTGATCTGGCACGTCTGTCTGCTTGACTTCATCTCACATCATGCTCACCTAGCTCCTCAGTCGCGCTGGCTTGTGGTTCCTTAACACACTGGTGTGACTGTGATTGGGCCTCTGCCCAAGTGCTCTGCTCTTAACATCTGCTTGACTGCTTCTTCCTCATCATTCAGGTTTCAGCTCATGTCTCTTGAGAGAGACCTTTCCTGATATTACCCCACCCACTCCACTTCACTTATTTATTTATTTTTGCTTAGAGAGAGAGGAAGGGAGAGAGAAAAAACAACATTGATTTGTTGTTCCACTTAATGCATTCATTGGTTCCACTTATTAATGCCATCTTGGTATATTGGGATGACACTCTAACTGAGATACTCTTATTTCTTTTATCTTACTCATTGTAATCAGTAATTGTCTCATCAGTTATCCCTTTACTATTATCTGTCACACACACTGTAATAAAAGCTTCAAGGACCTTGTGTCTGGTTCTTTATTGCGTTTCTATGGCCTAATGTAGTACCTGGCACCCCAGTAATTGTTTAATAAATTGAGTATACTTATTGAACAGAAACCAGCACAGTCATTTTAAATCTTTACTCTGCTGCTTGCAGTAATTTTTTAAAAAATTAAATCTTTATTGTTCAGATTATTACAGTTGTTCCTCTTTTTCCCCCCCATAGCTCCCCTCCACCCGATTCCCACCCCACCCTCTGCCCTTACCCCCCACCCCCACTGTCCTCATCCATAGGTGCACGATTTTTGTCCAATCTCTTCCCGCACCCCCCACACCCCTTCCCCCCACCCCGCCCCAAGAATAGTCAGTCCACTCCCTTTCTATGCCCGATTCTATTATATTCACCAGTTTATTCTGTTCATCAGATTATTTATTCACTTGATTTTTAGATTCACTTGTTGGTAGATGTGTATTTGTTGTTCATAATTTGTATCTTTACCTTTTTCTTCTTCTTCCTCTTCTTAAAGGATACCTTTCAGCTTTTTCTTATCTGTGAAGTTCTTTATCTGACCTTCAGTTCTGAATGATAGCTTTGCGGGGTAAAGTAATCTTGGTTGTAGGTTCTTGGTATTCATCACTTTGAATATTTCTTGCCACTCCCTTCTGGCCTGCATAGTTTCTGTTGAGAAATCAGCTGACAGTCGTTTGGGTACTCCCTTATAGGAAACTAACTGTTTTTCTCTTGCTGCTTTTAAGATTCTCTCTTTGTCTTTTGCCCTTGGCATTTTAATTATGATGTGTCTTGGTGTGGTCCTCTTTGGATTCCTTTTGTTTGGAGTTCTCTGCGCTTCCTGGACTTGTAAGTCTATTTCTTTCACCAGGTAGGGGAAGTTTTCTGCCATTATTTCTTCAAATAGGTTTTCAATATCTTGCTCTCTCTCTCATCTTCTGGCACCCCCATAATTCGGATGTTGGTACACTTGAAGTTGTCCTAGAGGCTTCTTACACTGTCTTCATATTTTTGGATTTTTTTTCTTTTTCCTTTTCCGGTTGGGTGTTTTTTGCTTCTTTGTATTTCAAATCTTTGACTTGATTCTTGGGATACTCTAGTCTGCTGTTGGATCTCTGTATATTATTCTTTATTTCAGTCAGTGTTTGCTTAATTTCTAATTGGTCCTTTTTCATATCCTTGAGGGTCTCGCTAAATTTCTTGGAGGTTTCTAGAAGATTCTTGAGTAACCTTATAACTGTGGTTTTGAACTCTATATCCAGTAGTTTGCTTTCCTCCATTTCTTTTATTTGTGACATGTTTCTTTGTCTCCGCATTTTGGCTCCATCCCTGTGTTGATAGAGTGGCTTTGTGTGCTAGGAGTCCTATAAGCTCAGCCTCCCCAGTCACCTGAGGTGGATGCTCTTGGTGCACCCCTTTGTGGGCTGTGTGCACAGTCTTGTTGTACTTTAGCCTTGATTGCTGTTGATATCACTGGGAGGAATTGACCTCCAGACCAATTGGCTGTGAGGACCAGTTGTGTCTACAATGGGCGAACTGCTGTGCTGGAAACACCCTTATGGGGCAGGACTTGCTTCAATGGGGCTTTGGTGCTCACTGAGTCTGCCCCCTGAGTGTGTCTCTTAAGGATCTGAAGAGTTGTAATCTGGTGGTCTCTCTTTGACCACTGGGTACACTGGCTCTTGGATCTCCAAGGAGGTACAGTGGGGCCTTGACTTACGAGTTTAATTCGTTCTGTGACGGAGTTCGTAACTCATATTACTCGTATGTCAAATCATAAAGTGAACGAGTGAGACACGTGATGCTGGGCTGATGTTGTGGCGTTCACTGTGACGTTCGCTGCGCCAACTAGCGGTGGGTTATCTGAAGCTGGCTCATAACCCTAATTTTAGCTCGCAACTCAAAGCAAAAAATCAGCCAAGAGACGGCTCATATCTTGAAAAACTCGTTAGTCGGGACACTAGTAAGTCAAGGTCCCACTGTACAAAGTCAGCCACTGCCTAAGGCCACCCAGCAGGAGCTACAGAGAGATCTGCAGATTCCTCCTCTTTGTTTGGGGTTTGGAGGTGCCCAGATGAAGCGCAGCTGTGAAGCAGTGCGGGCTGCTAAGGAGCCTTAGGCCTTCTTTTGGAAGCTCTGGGGTTCTTTGACCCAGTTGCAGTTTGTTAGATTAGGTTGCAAAAGGCCAGGCCATTCATATGCAAAAGCCTCTTCCCACAGCTTGGGTGGGGTTGTAAATTGGGTGGGGCGTGGTCTCAGGGAATCACTGGGGCAGTGCAAACAGCAATGGTTGCCTGTCAGCCCTGCCACAATAGGTCCCTGGGTCTCTGTGTCCTGTGGCCCTGTGTAGGAATAATGACCGCTGCAAGCACCTCTGCAAGAAAGCCGCCCTCGTGTTCCGGCCCGATACCAGACAGTCCAGTTTCTCCCCATAGGAGTCTGGGTCCCCGGAACTGGATTTCAGAGGAGTCAAGAGTTTGTATCCCCCCCCCACACACCCCGATTGAAAAAGACAACAGCGTACCCAGTTTCGCGCACCTCTGTACCTTTGCTCTTCTGCACCTCTGCACCTCCTACCAGTCGAGATGTGCTTTTTTCTTTCCCTCCAGTTGTTGGACTTCCACTCAGCCAGACTTCCCGTGATTCTGGATGATAACTGTTTTGTCTTTTAGTTGTAGTTTTGATGTGGTTGTGGGAGGCAGCAAGTACAGGCATTTCCCTATGCTGCCATCTTGGTTCTCAAAATAGGTAGTTTTTTTAAAAAAATACCTTATTGCTTTGGAAGTCCCTTTGAACACAATTTGATAAAAAAAAATACCCTGTATTTACCAGTAGGTGGCACTCGTGGTCATTGGTATTATTACAAAACAAGATTTTAGAATTTTAAAGAGAACAGCTTTTGAAAATTAACATGTCTTTGTTTTCCAGTTCATTTGAGCAGCAGACCATTCAAACAGCATAATCACTAAAAGCCGTATCTATGTGAGGACTATTTTAGCTATAATTATCCTGAGCAGAGCACTGTTTTCATATTAAGCTATGTATCTATTAAATTTTATTAGGGAACTTGGCCTTATATGACACTAACTGTATCATTCCAGCCATTGGTCTGGGCTTTCATAGGGTGGAATAAGAAAAGAGGAAAAAAAATCATAAGAAAGAAAAACAGAAAGATGAGAGGAAGACTTGATGGAAGGGGGGAAATTGAGAGTAGTTTTACTGTGAGGCGATGCCTGCTGATTATAATGAGCCTTTTCATTTGCAATAGGAGATAGTAGTTCTTTTTAACAGTTGCCCAAAACAATGTTCCTATACGTTGTCTCTGTCATTGCAGGAGCTTTGTGAGAGAATTTCAGTGTGTGGAAACATTGGTCTGGGTTCCAACCAGTGTATATCTGAAGGTCTCAATATAATACCAGGACCAAAATACTGCATATCTGTCAGCTGGCCAGCCATATACTTAATGACTCCTAAAAGTCTCATGGACTTCTAAAGTAAGTTTTCTTTCTTTCAGTGATTAACAGCATTTTTTGGTTTAGCATATTTAAAGGAGAGAAACTACATTTAGTAGTTTTGCATGAGGTAAAGAGGCATTATACTTTTTTCATTTATGCAAAAGAAAAAATAGCAAGTAGCATTATTTATCCACAATGATGCCATATCATACTATGGCAAGAAATAGATCTTTTACCTTATCTAAAGATTGGTTATGAAGCAGTGGCTCTTGTATACGATTTGGTTATAACTGAATAAATTACATATGACTTACATCACCACCTGATTTATTTACTTTTGTCTATCTTTTGTCTCTACCTTTTAAAATATTAGCTCCCTAAGAAAGCCTTTGTTTTGTTCATGTCTGTATTCCCAGTGCCTGCCACATAATGGGCTCTTAGTAAATATTTGTCAAATGAAGGGTTGAATTAGTATGGAGTAGGAACATAAGCACATGTAGCTTGAATATTTTTCTAACACTAAATGTATTACAATTAATTTATGTAGTGCCTTCCAGAGAGCTTAGAAAAAAAGAGTGTTCATGTACATCTTTATTTATTCTCAAGCTGACTAAGATAGGCAATATAATGTGTTAAAAGTGGCCATCTTAGTCAAAGAAATATTTAAAAATTGGCTGAGGAAAGCAGAATACATCAAAAAAATACATCATCTGACTCCCACTCAGTACTTTTCTTGATAGGCCAGTAGTTTTTAGACATGGAAATGTTGGGGATCCTTCTGGGTTTTTGTTCTTTTAAACTTTTTATTCACATATAACTTAGAAACAGAAAAGTACATAAATCCTAAGAGGACAGCTTGATTAAATTTTTTTATTAAGATAATTTTTTATAATAGTTTTAGGTTCAAAGCAAAACTGGGGGGAAGTACAGAGATTTCCCATATACCCCTTGTCCCTACAAGAGCATAGCCTCCCCCATTATCAACAGTCCCCCATTATTAACATCTCCCGCTAAAGTGGTATTGTAGTTCCAGTTGGTGAACCCACATTGACACATCATTATCACTCAGAGTCCATAGTTTACATTATGGGTCACTCTTGGTGTTGTATGTTCTATGGATTTGGACAAATGTATAATATATGTAATGATATATATTCAGCATTATGGTATACAGAGTGTTTTTACTGCCCTAAAAGTCCTCCGTGGTTTGATGGAATTTTTACAAAATGAGAACACCCATGCAATCATCATTCAGATTAAGAGAAGACATTATCACTACTACTTCCCCAAGGGTAACTGCTAACTTGATCTCTAGCTTCATGGATTAATTTTGTCTCTTTCTGTACTTTATATTACTGGACCCACAGACTGTGTGCTCTTTTGAGTGGCTGCTTTCATTCTTTTCATTCACTTTGATGTTTGTAATATTCATCTGTTACCTCATGTAGTTGCAGTTTGTTTATTCTCAGTGCTGTGGACCTCAGTTTGTTTCTCCCTGCACTTTATCTAAACAAGAAACATTAAAGACTTAGTGGTGCTCTTTGATTGGACTACAACTATCAGGCAGTTAGCAAATCTACTCCCCTGTAATGGTGTACGATTAGTCATGTGAACTTGGTCAGAGATTTTGGAAACCAATAGGGAACATGAATATTTGGTGGCACCAATAATTGCATTCGTATGTATTGTGGAGATCAGTTGAATCAACTCTGAATAATGGCAGAAATTTTGTCAGGGTGAACGAGGCCCTTAATTGTTTTGCCATTAGATCAGCTCATAACAGCACCAACAAAAATGTAAACTCTTCTTCATTGGCCCCTAAAGACTCCCCACTTTTTCTTAACATTTTTAATTTTCAGTGTTCTGTTTGCGCAGGAAGCACCATGGCCTGTGCTGCTGTCTTGGTTCCTGGGTTGTTGCGAGGCTCTGTTGGAGCCATCTGCTCCCAGGCTGCTTTCTTGAAATCGACACGTGGCTCTTTGCGCCACCTTACGCTAACCAGGTGAGTTACCGACCTTCAGTGTCATTTGAGGTTGATTTTCAGAGACCTGACCTGCGGATGGTCATGGGAGGCATATCAAACTCCTGAAGCCATGACATAATAGACTGCTTAAATGTGCATGGTGTCAGTAAATCGTTAAACTTTAGTTAGATGTACAAATTTTTATAGACCATTTTCTAGGACCCAGAATGTTATATTGTATTTTGGATAGTCATGATATTACAGGGCAAACGAATTTAATTCTTTCTTATGAGGATAATGCTTAGCTTACTAACCCAATTTGACTCTCTGTTATAGCATAATGAAATCCAAAAGGAAGACTGATCACTTGGAGAGAACTGCAAATGCCCTTCGACAGGAGGTTGGTATCTTTGGGCTGTAGCAGGCTTTCCTAGGCAGGATGGTTTGCACACAGTTAAGACTGGTTTATGGAGAAAGTACTAGATAAGCTCTCTCCCTTCGAAGGATAGTCAGGGAAAGTTGGTAATTTTTCTGTTTAGAACTTTTCTGAACAGGCCATGTGACAACTGATTTGAAAAAATGATAGTGAAATACTCAAATTTTTCCCTTTAAACTTGGGATGAACAGATTAATTTTTTGATGAAGGAAATATAGCAGCAACTGAGGGAACTATCCTCACAAGTATGATGCATAGGTTTATATTTTAGGGCTAGAACTTCTTTTAGAGCCCACATCTTATGAATAGCTTACCTTTCCTTTTTCTTTCTTATTTATGTTTGACACCATGTCTCAAAGTCCTTGTTCTTATCCCTACTTTAGAACAACTTATTTCATCAAGGGAGAACACACTAACATCTGAGAAAGGAAGGTGGACGAGCTCTTATTACATGGGCTGACCTTTCCCTACCAAATTCAAACTAGAGAAAGCTAATCCACCACCTGAAGGGGTCAGGGCTGGGAAATAAGGATCCTCACCCTTTACCTCAGTGAGTAACCACATTTTCTTTTAAAAACTTAAATTGGATATATGTTTTGCTTTTTGAGTGATTCTTTATTTGGATATATTTAGCTTAGTGTTCTAAGTTAAAAATATTTAATACAAGGAAGGATTTATACACTTTCATAAGCAAGGTCAGAAATTGTATTGTTGCAGTAGTTGAAATTTTAGAAGACATAGTTGGGTGCTCTTTGGTGTAATAGAATATTGTTTAGGCTACACTTTTCAGGCTGGTTTTCTTTTCAGAAAATTGCTTTGGGACTGAGGGCGGTATGCTTGTGAATTCAATGTTTTCCTGAGAACCCATGTAAAATTAGTGCAGCATAATAGATATGGATGTGTGGGACAATACACTTTTCCCACTGATGATAAATCTGAAAATACCTTTTCTAGGTTTATCCAACACACACAAAAAATGCTGATTCTGTAAATGTGAGATTTGTTAGAATTTCTTTTTTAAAAAGCGAAACCTTGCCAGTTTTGAAGAAGAAAAAGTGGGTTAACAGTCTTGGGCTATGCTCTTTTCTGTTATATTTTGAGGCAGGTAGAACTATAGCAGAATTTGGCAGGTTTTCTGTAAAGGGTCAGATAGTCTTCGGCTTCATGGGCCAGTTTTAGCCCCAACTAGAAAACTCTGCCTCTACAGAGTGAAAACAGCCATAAACAACACATAACAAATCGGTGTGGCTGGGATCAAATACAGTGTTCTTTATCAGAACACCCAGATACGGTGTGTGGGCCATAGTTTGCCAATCTCTGAATTAGGATAGCCGTTTCAGAATTTTACAGGACAAAATTATTGAGACTTTTGGTGAGGGGGTTATTTTGAGCCAAGTTTACGAAGATTAATGTAAACTCTAATCCTGCAATTGAAAAGTTGAGAATTTTAAAGCTGAAAAGTCAGAAAGTATAGGGCTAATTTCAAAACCTTGGCGGAAGAATTTTCCAATTGCAACTCCTTTCCTTCTATATCTAATTTCCCCTTCTTTCCTAAACAGGATGAGAGCTGGGAGCTGGGAGGAGCTGGATACAGCTAGATGTATAGCCTCAGCAGTATAAGGTCATCAGGGGTGAGCCAGTCTGATCTTGGACTTGTTGAAATGTTGGGCCATAATAGAACTGGCCCACCACATGGTCTCGTCTACCACTCTTTCTTTAATTTGAATTGCAAGTATACTTTACAAAACTCCCCATATGCCATTTGTTCTTCAGTTCAAGTCTGTGAGGTAGCCTAAGGATAGGCTGGCATCTGCATTTTACATAAGAGGAGGCACAGAGCCTAGGAGATAAGGAATGGCTTCTCCTAGGGCCAGAGGGAAGCTGCAGCACAAGTCTGTGATTCTTAAGCCAAAGGACCTTGCTGCTCCTCCTGGGTAGGTGAAGAATGGACCACTCACCCACCCAGAAATGTCCTTTCCTTACTAGACTTTGGGTTCCCTATAGAGAACTTATCGAATGAGCATATTATGATGTTGATGCTTCTTTCTTTAGGCTGTAAAGTAACCAGTCTGAGTCACGCTGATGCAGGAAACTGAGCTCTTGAATTGAATGGCATTTGACTGTTTGTGTTGAGCTCACAGTTTTTCCTCAAGGATCAAAGAATAAGCAGACTGGGTAGCCTTAGAAATGTCAAAAAGATAAGAGTAGAAATACTGTAATGCAGTAAGGATTGTTCAGGCAAAACTAAGTTTTCACTGGAGGGGTCACACTGTGCCTAGCTCTGCAGAGAGCTGACCCACTGAGCAAGATGTACTCTGTTCATGAATTTGATGGGAGAGTTTGGTAATGAAAGAATTTTGCCTATGCTACTGCTTCTTAACTATGCCCAGAACTTAACTTGTTTATGTCTAAATGTTTAGTGTTGGTGCGTTTCAATAATTTAAGTGACCTAAGAGGCAAGATTTTTTCCCCTCACTCTCCCCCCAGGGGACCCAGTCAAATTAAGTATTTTATCTTAAATTCAGCAGACATGTGTCAAGTGCCTGCTGTCTGCCCAGCCCTGTTGTAGGTGCAGGGGACTCAGCAGTGCATGAGGCAGGTAAAGCCCCTGTTGTATATGGAGCTTCATCCTGGTGCAGATAAACCAGAGAATGTCAGGTGTCATATACACTATTGTCGGAGTACTTACTCTTGAACCCTGCTCACCTTGCTCGCTGCGCCCATTGTCAGAGTAAGTTTCTCCTTGATCCTGTTCATGACGCCAGTTGTCAGGAGCACTTGCTCCTGAGTCTGCACAGTCTCCTGAACCAGTTGTTGGGAGTACTTACTCCGTTATCCAGCCCACCTATGCCACCTGTTGGGTCCGAGCCCCTCTGCCAGAGACTGGACCTTCATGGATGCTGCGTATTGGACAGAGAAGATAGGAGAAGTCATAGGCATATAAGAGAGTCTTTATTGCAGAGCAAGTAGCCATTGCTAACAAGGAGCCATCACATAAGCAGTCCTTCAAAGTAGCCTTACAACGTAGCTGCACACAGCAGCTCTTGTTAATACAGGAGCCATACTGAGCATCCATGCACTGGCTGGTCAGCAGCACATCTTTATACCAACTTAGACAAAAGAGGCTTCTTGCCAAATAGTGACATCAGTACTTGGGCTACAGAAAGGCACGCCTGCGCACTGCGTACAGTAATCGCTGTGACCTTGCTTTTGCACCTGCTTATGGCAAATTGGCCTTGAGCATCCGGCATACTCTGGACAGGGCCCCCACACTCAAATTAGCCTTGAACATCCAGCGTACTCTGATCGGGTTCCCACAGCTATGAAGGAAGGGAACCAGGCTAATGGCTGGAGTCAGGCTATTTTAAATGGTACTATTTGAGCCGAGACTTGAATACAGAAAGGAGCCAGACAGGTGCACAGCATTACTGGCAGAGGGACTGGCAGGAGCCAAGCTTTGAGGCAGGGACTTGCTTGGCCTATTCAGAGGAAGGTGGTAGGAGGAGGGGTAGGCAGGGCCCAGGTTGTGTTAACAGCTGTGGGCTTGGATAAGGAGTTGGGATTTTGTTCTAAGGGTGAGGGAGGGTTTTAAGCAAGGAAATGACAGGTGATTTACATTTTAATGGGTTACCTTTTTCTTGATGGAGCACTGGGTTTTTGCTGTGCTTTGACCCAGGTTGGAGGCTACTGACAGAGTCTCTGGAAAGATGATGCGGCTTAGAGTAGCCTGGTAGTGATGGGGTCAGAGAGCAGTGGGTGGATCTGGGACAGAGGCAAGGCTAATGGGATTTACAAATTGAGATGGGGGTGCAGTTAGTGAGAGGAGAGGAAACCAAGTGATTTCTGGCTTTGGGATTTGAACTCTGGATAGATGATGATGGTGCCATGTATTTGCTGACACGGAGAAGACCAAGCGTGGCGGAGAGGAAGTAAAGAGCTCAGCTTGGGATAACCTGGGGTGGGAGGATGGTAAGTGGATGGAGTTACAGATGAAACAAGATTGGCCATGAGTTTTATCAACTCATACCATGTTGACTTTGGAGCATGGGTTCATGAAAGTTCCTTATACTGTTTTTACTGGTTTTGTATATGTTTGAAATTTTGCATAATAATAAAAAGGAAGAAGCTTTGGGAGATAAAAGGGTTCTGTGTTGGATGTGTTGTTTGAAATGGAAATTCCAATCAGCAGTTGGGTGGATGAGTTTGGAGTTCACTACTGGAAATAAAAAGTTTAAGCTTCATAGAGAGTAAGGGAAGAGGGCCCAGGCCTCAGCCTTGGGGTGTGTCAGCATTTAGAGGTCAGGCAGGAGAAGAAGGGCCAGAAGGGGAGAGGAGAAAGAGGAGCAGGTGGGTTTCAATAATCTAAGTGACCTAAGGGAAGTCTGCAGGGTGTTGGTAAAGCCAGGAGAAAAGTTTCCAGGAGGGAGGGGCGCCTGTGCTGGATTCTGCGGAAGTCATCATTGGGTTTAGCGAAATGGATAGTGGGTGACCAGAATGACTGGTGTTAGTCCATTGCTGAGAGTGAAAGCTTGGCTGTCTTGTGTTGGAGAGAGAATAGGAGATGAGAAGGTGGAGCCAGAATCACTTTTACGTGAATGTGAGCAAAGAAATGGGGTGATAGCTGGATTAAGGGAGGGGCTTGTTTTGTCTGTTGTATTTTGAGAAGCACCGAAGCACAGAGGTCAAGTGCCTGGATTCCAGTATCTGCTTTGCTGCTTACTAGCTGTGAGACCTCACATTTTTTCATATGTAAAATGGGGATAGTACTAACCCTTGTCTTCTAGAGTTTCTGTGACGGTTGAATGAATTAATGTGTGTAGAGTGTGTGGCACATGGTAAGCTCTGATTAAAGGTGTTTGCTCCTAATGTTATTATTACAGGTGGAAGGTCTGAGTGCTTGCATGTGTTCTCGTGGAGATGGGGGGAAAGGGGTGATGAATGAGAGAGGATACTTGCTCCACTGAAGGCTTGAGAAGGCAGAGAGATCAGCCAGGTGGATAGGTTAGCCTTTGGTAGGAACAAGGAAAATTCATTTGCCAGGATGTAGTATTGACAGGCATAAACCACTTGAGAAGTTGTACAGTTGGCAGAATTTTGTGCTCTTTCCTTGTCAGTAAATCTCTTCAGTAAAACCAGTATCTTTTCATCAGGTTCTACTCATCAGAATGGTATTCTGCCTCAGTTGAACTGATGGCTCTGGGCCTTGGTGTCCTCATGTGTAAAATGACATAGTATTTTTTGATGACTAAGTTTTTCTTCAACTCTGAAATTCTCTGTGCCCTCTTTTGTTTCAGGTCATCGCTAATCTTGGCTTTGTCTAAATTTTTAAGCCAACAAAAGAATGAATGGGAATGAACAGCGGAAGCCATTTAGGTTTCCCAAAGAAAGACCTATTTCCTGTACAGAGGCTGTTGTAGCAGCAGTAACATCAAGATATCCTATATAAAACCAGCTTTTTAAAATCAGTATGATGGAATTTCCTTTTAGATGCTGACTTCGTCAAAGCCTTAAAAATGCGTGCTAGTAAAAGTTGGCAAATGTATTGTTATTTTATTGAACAGTAGAAGAGTCTAAATGTTATTTTATGGAAAACTTAATTTCCTGCCATGTGTTTTAACTTAGGGCATGGCTAGTTGAGGTTTCAGTTGCGAAATCTTTTGATCCGTTAAGTATGAGAACAAGTACAAATGTTAAAACATAAAGTTTCTCCATCATGTTTTACTTATTCAATCAAAGTAAAGAAAAAAATGGCACACAACAAGATTACAGATCTTAATCATGTGAAACTAGCTTCAGAATAAAATAAAGATGTGGTCTTCAAAAAAGATTTTGCTGATGTTTTTAATCCACTTTGCTAGAAATCTTTATGTAGTGTACAGTATTTGTATTAACAAAATAAAATAGTATTAAAAATCATGAATTGTACAAGATATTGTGTGTGACCACTTCTACAGTTGTGCCCAGATTATGAGGACTAATGGCAACAGATATATTCGTGTGTGAGTTATTACCAGTAGGCATAAAGCACCTAATAACATTGTTGGTCATAGGGACTAACCAAATGAAAATAGGACTTTTTCAATAGAAATTTAGCTTCTTTCCCTTCTTCATTGAATTTTGTATTTGGACATTGGCAAATGATTGGTGATTTCATTTCACATAGATGAGCATGTGATTGTGAAGCATGCTCACATGTTTCAGTTGGAATTCTGTGTTCCTCTTCCTCCTCCAGCCAGCGATTATGAATGTTGGCTTTTCTGCCACCAGGTGACCCTTTGGGATGTGTTTAAAGCTTACACATATCTAGCTCTGTTCATGAGTCTGACAGATACCAGTTAAGCGGTTATAAATGAAATAATCTAGCTCTTAGCTTTGTTTCTAAAGATTATCATATTGAAGGAAAATAATGTTTACAAAATAAACATTTCTGGAAACCTAAGAAAAATGAGAGTAATCTATATATATATAAAAGGCTAAGTGTCTGACCGGTTGCTGTAATGCGTACTGACCACTAGGGGGCAGACACTCAGTGCAGGAGCTGCTGAGCTGCAGTGACTTGGCAGCGGCGGTTCTCAGGTGACACACCCCAAAACCAGAGAGGAGGGAGCCTGATTCCTTGTGGGGCCTCGTGATTCCACCTTTGGCAGTGGGTTATGTTGTTGCTGGGGCACTGTTGGCCCAAATCTGGTTTACTGTACACTTGTGTTTGTGTTCCACACCCTGTACAACAGCAACTTTGCAGAGTGCCCTCTCGCACTCTGGGACCCCTTGGGGGATGTCGGAGAGCCAGTTTCCGCCCGATCCCCGCAGGCCAGGCCGAGGGACCCCACCTGCTGGAGGGACGACCACTCCCCCTCCCCTGCTCACTCCACACCAGGGAGGGACTGCGCGGGGGGGGGGGGGGGGGGTGTTGGCTCCAGGGCGTGTCCAGCCCTTCTTGCCCAGTCCCGCCCCATTGGCCACCTTCTAATTAATTTCCTTTCAATGTACACGAATCCGTGCACTGGGTCACTAGTAATGTAATAAAGGAGAACCTTCTGATGATTCTTATTGTCTTTGTAGTAAGATATTTAAAATCAACTGTGTGGCAAACATAAGATTCCTGTTCTGCTGAGGAGACCTGCCTTCCCACCTAACATTTTTTTTAAGCAACGAGGACTCCCAAACTTCTAACATTTGTTCTAGAAACCAATTTTAAGTGACTTTAAGTTAGAGTTTCCATTTATTTTGCAAATATTTACTGAGTCTTACTGTGTGTTAGTCCTGGGAAGTTAGTATAGATATATATATAAATTCTACCCAGTATATGATCTCAGAAGGCATGTGGTCTGTGTGAAAGACTTGTTCTTGAGTATTTATAATTACATCAATCTGGGCTAACTATGATAATAAAGGCGGATCATTTTATGGGTAGAGTTGAGCGGATGGAGAGAAGAAGAAGGCCTCCAGCAGAGGTCTGGAAGGTGGGGTAAGAGGTTGATAGACAGTACTGAGAGTGTGTGCCACATGCCAAACGACTAGGCAGCATTGGGGAGGTAGACAAGTGTCAGGTGCCTTTGAGGACCAGCATGCTGTCCAGTTTGGCTGGTAAATCAGTAGCACAGGGATCCAATAGGAGCTTAAGCTGGTATGAGTTACAAAGGCCTTTAGCATTCTTCTATATTTGTAGTGGAGTGTTAGAGAGCCCTTGAAGGTTTTTGAGCTGGAAAGTAACTCAGTGAGGTCAGAACACTAGGAGTATTCATCTGTTTTGTAGTTACTTTTAATTTCTGCAATATGTCATGGACTTCTTGCCGGTTCAGAACAAACACAGGTTCAGAGCTAACATAGTTCCACTTTGCATAGGTTGTACTCACAGAGAATTTAGACGCCAGGCTTACAGCAGGTCTTCATTCCCTAAGCAATTCTCAGGTTGCCCAGCCTGGTGCATGGCACATACACGCTTGCTTATTAAACAGTCCCTTCAAGAGATGGTTTTTGTATGTAGAATAAAATTCAATTAGTATTTAAAAAATGTTTTTATTGCTTATTTAAAGGGAGATGAAGGGAGAGGGATAGAGAGAGAGAGAGAAACATCAATGAGAGAGGAACATCATCGATCCCTGCCTCCTGCACGCACCGCACCCTACTGGGGATCGAGCCCACGACCCTGGGCATGTGCCCTGACTGGGAATGGAACCAGCGACCTCTTAATTCCTGCGTCAGTGCTCAATAGCTGAGGCACACTGGCAGGGCTCAGTTAGTATTTTAACAAGTCTCTCAGAAGATAATTAAAATTTGTTCACCTGGTGGTAGGCAGCATTTTAAAGCAAAGCATGCTTTACCTTGTTTTGCAATTTTAAGAAACCACATCTTCGTAGGTTTTGAAAAAACCCGAGTTACCAGAAAGCCACAGTTTGTTCCTTGTATTGTGTACACACTAACCTCAGCCAGTTCATCTTTTGACTCAAGGTTGTGACGGCAGCTAAGGTGTGTGGAACAGCCAATGAGTCACCCTCTGTGAAGAGGCTCCGCCTGCTTGTTGCTGATCAAGACTTTTCCTTTAAAGCCGGCCAGTGGTGAGTAGCTTTTCTGTTTTCTAGGGGTTGTATGTGCTCAGGAAGATGCCACCAGATAGAAGGGCTTGTTTTTGTTTCTGGAAAGGACGTCTGTGGCCCGCTGTTTCTCCTGAGGGGTAGGAATCTAGACCACCTCCATTCAGGGTGAGCCCTCCTTGACACGGAGAACCAGTTTCTTTCCTAGCTTCAGAGCTTGCCTCGGTTTTGAGCCCAGACCCTCTCAGTCATACATGAAAATTGCTGCCTTGAGTTTTTCTTATTGAAACAAAGCAGCTAGTTCTGGTCCATGAACCTGGCAACTGATAATTCTGTCTGTAAGATGGTTGCTAGTAAAATGCACTGAAGTAATCTAACCTTGAGTTACGTGTTGCCGGGGATTGATGTTTTCAAAAATTAGTGTTCCTTACGTCAAATTCTGAGGAAACAGCAGTCTGGAAAGAAGAATAACCGGTATGTCACAGAGCTGACCACCCTTTCAACCAAGTTCCTGCATCACTCATATCTCGTCTGGGTTGAGTTTATTATCAGGAGCCCCAGGCAGGCCTAGCGCACACCACACTCATGAGTCGGCCCGTTGGGCTCTGAGGACTAGTCAGTATGCTGACAGGGTAACAGCCCAGCTGTCCCGTCTTGTCCCACTCCCTGCGAATGGCCTCACGGAGCTGCAATTCACGTTGAATTGTAAATAAAGCAACTTGTATTTCCGAAGGAAAGGTGTGTTTGGGTGTATGTTTCCTTTATTTAAATAAAGCATTCACTTCTAAATGAATTTCTGGCATGTCAGTGTGGTCGCATTTCTTAGGAGTCACTTGACTAATTTTGGCAGTCCATCTGGAAATGTGGTTTTGTTAGAAGGAGGATGTGTGATAATAGCAAGTGTGATAATAGCAAGAGTTAGCAGTCTTGTGTTAATAGTTTGCCTTTGAATTTAGAACTAGAAAACAAGATGCTGATTGCAATAATTTGCGTTTGTGAAGCAATTTACTGCAATCTTTGCACATGTTCAGTGATACATATTAAATGCATTTGGGCTGTTTTAGGGGGGAGGTGGGCAACATTTTTACCCTTCAAAACTATTTAGCAGTTATTACATTGGAAAATGGAAACTTTAATTGTAATGATCTGTCTTTCCACATTTCCCTTCTGGGGAAGTATTTGTGTCCTGTGCACAGCATTGTCTCTTTGCCTTCAGCTCTGAATTGTGCCAAGACTCTCCCTAGTCCCTGATTAGAAAAATCCCATGCGTTGATTTATAACGCTGCTACCATGGTGTGCCTGCAAGTGTATTAGCACTTGCAAACTGTGGTTACCTGATGAAGAAAATGTCATCATTCTCCAGTGACATATATAGAAATAGGTTCCATTGTGATCTCAAGATAAAATTATTGAGGGTGTTATATATCCCATATCAGTGAATGGATTTAGTCAGGTTGCTGATGTTAGGACTGATTTTAGTATGTGGCTGATAGATTCTGGCTTTGGGGGTCATCTCTGGCTGGTTAGCCATGACCCTTTCCCTGCCAGGTGTCACTCAGCACTTATTCCTGGCACCTGGATCCTCCTCTTTTAAAAGATTGCTCCCTTAGCACTAACAGATGGCATGGCTGTAGGGATTGTGAATTCCTTTGACTTCATGGGGACAGCATAGCCATTTGCAGATTTTGTCATAGCTCATTTAATTGCATTTATTTGTTAACTTTCCTATCATTAGGAGTTTATTGAGGACAGGAACCAAGACATCCTTGCATCTTGACATCCACCGTGAACCACAGCACCTGTACGTGGTAGGCAGGTTCTGTCTGCAGTGTTTGCGCAAGGAAGGGTGAGGGGTTCTGAGGACCGTTGCTGAGGACAGTTTGGGATCTCAGGAAAGCACTCATTTAGCCGTGGTTTGCATGCTTGGTGTGTGCTGGGCACTGGGGCTGCGGCTGGCCAGGACAGGGCTACCTGGACAGTTGGATGTGGATATGTGTGGTTCGCTACGGAATCGGGCCCTTTCTCTCAGTTCTTCATATACTCACACATCTGGAGGTGCGGTAGGTGGAGGTGCAGTAGGTGCCTCATCTCAGCTCCAAGAGTGCTAATCATACAAAGGGATTACTGTGTGGATGTGTTTCAGACACTTTCTTGGACAGATGTTTTATTAAATATGTATTGTACATATTTTCTTAAATCCATTCAGGTGAGGTTTTTATGTCATTTGAATTCTTCTGTAGCATTTAATGGAGTCCTTCTTTCTAAAGGTGTCTGTCTTTCCAGAGTTTCTAGAGAAGAGGGATTTCCTTTCACTCACCTGAGAATGGTCTTTAGCAACACCAAGCAGCAGAGGGCGCTATAATTCAGGCGATGAAGCCACAAAAGTAGCTCATTGATGTATTTATTTTTTTAAACATGGAAGCTGTGGAGGTGCTATATACCTTCTCTGAGAAAGCATATAGCATCTGTGTTAATAAGTGTTAACTATATTTTTTTAAAAATTGCATCTTGTCTGAAATGAAAGGGAAATTAAGGTATTCATGGGAAATAGTCTATTAAATATAGGGGAAAGTAGGCTAGGGACCTTTTCTGGAGTACTTCCAGTCCAGAACTGGTTTTTAAAGACTATAAAAAAGGACCGGATATTTAAGGTCATAGAGCAAAAGAGAACATCTTTTAAGGTCATAGATCAAATCAGTAGAGAACATTGTGTGCTTTTTGTGTAAGTCTACTGGTAGGAAAACAGCTGGGGAAAATGATACTATTGCTCTGTGATGGCTGAGAAACATCAAGATTGGATGTTTACGTTTCCTAGACATGGAGATGAGAATCTTTTGTGGTCCCAGATTCCAATAAATTTTTCTTTTCTTGGTATGTGACTAGGTCTGTTGCATTTCTTAGACCCCACCCAAAAAGGGTTCCTATGGCATAGAATTCCTGAAGGCTGGAAACTTCCAGGAGTCCTAGCCTATAGGAGTGTGGTCAGAAGAAAATATTTCAAACATGAGACTTCCACAGCTTAGAAGGCCATATCAACCTGTTCTGTTTGTCAAATACCAGTGAAAGAATTTCCGTTGCTTTTTTTTTTTCACCTTTTAAAATTGTTTGAGATACACTTTACAAATCATAAAATTTACCCATTCAAAGTATAAAATCTAGCCACTTAAAATGGTTTTTAATATATTCACAGAATTGTAAAACCATTGGCACAATCAAATTAGAACATTCTCACCATCCCCAAAAGAAAGCCTATGCCAGTTATCATTGACTCCCATCCTCATTAGACAACTATCTATTTTGTGTATATATGTGTTTGCCTATTCTGGATATTTCATACCAATGGAATTATGCAATATGTGGTTTTTTCTATGATTGGCTTCTTTCACTTACATATAATTTCCAGTGTTCATCTATGTTGTAGCATATATCATTACTTCATTCCATCAGTTGGTGAACATTTAGATTGTTTTCACTTTTAGGCTTATTATCAATAAGGCTACTATGAATATTCATGTGCATGTTTTGAGTGGACATATGTTTTCATTTCTCTTGGATATATACCTAGGAGTGGAATTGTTGATAGTATGATAATTCAAACATTTTCAGGCATTGCCAAACTGTTTTCCAAAGTGGCTGTGCCATTTTGCAGTCCTACCAATTTCTCTAGATCCTCAATAATGTACAAGGCTTCTAATTTCCTCACTAACACTTGCTGTTGTCTGATTCGCCATCCATCCCAGTGAGTGTGAAGTGTTAGTTCATTGTAATTTTGATTTGCATTTCCCTAATAACTTAAAATGTTCATGTGTTTATTAGTCATTTTATATTATCTTCTTTGGAGAGATGTTCATACAAATCCTTTGCCCATTTTTTTTATTTGTCTTTTTTTTTTATTGAGTTATAAGAATTATCTACATATTCTGTATACAGATCCCTTATCAGATGTATGATTTGAAAATATTTTTTCCTATTCTGTCAGTTGTCTTTTAATTTTCTTGTTGGGATCATTTATAGCACACTGTTTTTAATTTTGATGCAGTCTAGTTTATTTTTTTCTTTGACCTTTGTATTTTGGTGTCTAGGTAACTGTTGCCATGAAGAGTTACTCCTGTGTAAGTCTTAAGAGTTTATAATTTTAGCTCTTACATTTAAGTCTGTGAGCCATTTTGAGTTAACTTTTGTATACGGTGTGAAGTCGGGATCAAACATTGTTCTTTTTATAAATGGATATTCACTTGTCCCAGCACCATTTATTGAAAGGCTATTCTTTTGCCTTTGAATTGTGTTGGTACCCTTGTTGAAAATTAACTGACCATAAACTTAAGCGTTTATTTCTGGACTCTCAGTCCTTTTTCATTGATCTATGAGCCTGTTCTTATGCCAGTATCACAGTGTCTTCATTAATGTAGCTTTAATAGTAAGTTTTGATGATTCTGGGTTCCTTGAATTTCCATATTAATTTTATGATGAACTTATCAGTTTCTGCAAAGAAAACAGCTGGGTTTTGATAGATAATGCATTGAATCTAGAGATCAATTCGGGGAATATTGCTATCTTAACATATAAAGTCTCAATCCATGAACATGAGATGTCTTCCCATTTATTTAGATCTTTGATTTTTTTTCAACAAGGTTTGGTGGTTTTCATTATACAAGTCTTGTGCTGCTTTTGTTAAATTTATGCCTAATTATTTTATTCTTTTTTATTCTATTACAAATATAATTATTTTTCTTAAACTCACATTTAGATTGTTCATTGCTGGTTTATAGAAATACAATTGATTTTGTTATTGATTTTGTATCCTGCAACCTTATTTGACCTGTTACTTAGTTTTATTATCTTCACTAGAGGCCCGGTGCACAAAAATTTGTGCACTCGGGGGGGGGGGGGGGAAGGAGGAGGGTCCCTCAGCCTGGCCTGTGCCCTCTTGCAGTCTGGGACCCCTCGGGAGATAATGACCTGCTGGCTTAGGCCTGCTCCCGGGTGGCAGAGGGCAGGCCTAATCCATAGGTGCAGCCCCTGGTCGGGCTCAGAGCAGGGCCGATTGGGGAATTGGGGCGCTGCCCCCTGTCATGCACAGAGCAGGGCGGATCGGGAGGTTGCGATGCCACCCTCAGTCACGCTCAGGGTAGGGCCGATTGGGGGGTTGGGGCACCGCCCCCTGTCACACTCAAGGCAGGGTCGATGGGGAGGTTGCAGCGCCACCCCCTGTCATGCACAGAGCAGGGCCAATTGGGGTTGGGGCGCTGCCCCCTGTCACGCACAGAGCAGGGCCAATCAGGGGGTTGGGGAGCTCCCCCCTGTCACGCACAGAGCAGGGTCAATCAGGGGGTTGGGGAGCTCCCCCCTGTCATGCACAGAGCAGGGCCCATCAGGGGGTTGGGGCGCCGCCACTCTCACACTCAGGGCAGGGCCGAGGGGGAGGTTATGGCTCTACCCCGTCACACACAGAGCAGGGCCCATGGGGTGGGGGGGTTGGGGCGCCGCACCCTGTCACACACAGAGCCACAGGGCGATCAGGAGGTTGGGGAGTTCCCCCGTATCAGGCACAGAGCAGGGCTGATCAGGGGGTTGGGGCGCCTTCCCCTGTCAGGAACAGAGCAGGGCCGATAGGGAGGTTGTGGCCCCGCCCCCTGTCACAGAGCCACAGGGCGATCAGGGGGTTTGGGCGCTGCCCCCTGTCATGCTGATCCCGGTGCCGGGAGACCTCGTGGCTCCGCTGATCCCGGTGCTGGGAGGCATATTACCCTTTTACTATATAGAATAGAGGCCTGGTGCATGGGTGGGGGCTGGCTGGTTTGCCCTGAAGGGTGTCCTGGATCAAGGTGGGGGTCCCCACTGGGGTGCCTGGCCAGCCTGGGTGAGGGGATGATGGCTGTTTGCAGCTGGTCACACATCCTTCAGGGTGGGGGTCCCCACTGGGGTGCTTGGCCAGTCTGGGTGAGGGGCTGAGGGCTGTTTTCAGGCTGGGACTGAAGCTCCCAACTGCTCCTTTTTTTCTTTTCTTTTTTTTTATATTCTGAGCCAGCTTTAGCTCTGAGTCTCCAGCTCTTAGGCCTCCGCTCCTGAAAGCAGGTATCTGGTTTGTTTAGGTTCTACAATCGAAACTCTGTATCAACTCCAGCTCTGAGATCCCGGCTCACTGAAAGCTGGTTTCTGGGGTTTTGTTTATCTTCTATATTTGTTACAATGTTTCAGACTGCAGGCTCAGAGGCCGGCAAGGCAGGCGGGGAACGTTGGAGTCCTCCGTCACTTAAGCAAGCAAGCCTCATGTTAGTTTCAAGCTGCCTGGCTGCCGGCCGCCATCTTGGCTGGCAGTTAATTTGCATATCTCACTGATTAGCCAATGGGAAGGGTAGCGGTCGTATGCCAATTACCATGTTTCTCTTTTATTAGATAGGATAGTAAATTCTTAGGACTTTCTATATACAGCATCATGTCATTTGCAACTTCTTTCTCTCCTATTTGGATGCTTTTTATTTCATTTTCTTGCTTAATTGCCTTGGTTAAAACCTCTAGTACAATGTTGAATAGAAGTGATGGGAGCAGACATCCATGTCTTGTTTCCGTTATTGGGGGTGCGGCGGGGACAGACTTTCAGCCTTTTACCATCAAATATGGTGTTAGCTATGGATATTTTGTAGTTGCCTTTTATCAAGCTGAGAAAGTTCCCATTTATTCCTAGTTTGTTGAGTATTTTGAATTTTTTCAAATGCCTTTTCTGCATCTCTTGAGACTCTCCTTAATTAAGTGGTATATTTCATTGGTTGATTTTCAGATGTAAACCAACCTTATATTCCTGGGATTTTTGTATTTGTATTCACAAGGAATATTGATCTATAGTTTCCCTCCCTGTGATACTTTTCTCTGGTTTCGGTATCACGGTAATAGAATGAGTTGGGAAGTGGTCTTTTCTTATTTTTTGGAAGAGTTTGTGAAAGATTAGTATTAATTATTCTTTAAATGCTTGGTAGAATTCATGAGTGATAACACCAGAACCTACCCTTTTCTTGTGTAAAGTTTTAAAATTAGTCATTCAATTAGTTTGTTATGGGTCTATTCAGATTTTCTGTTTATTTTTTAGTCTAATTTGGTAGTTTGTGTCTTTTTGTTTCTTGTTTTTTCCTAGTCTAGCTAACAGTTTGTCAGTTTTGTTTACTTTACTCCCCACTTTTAAAATTGCTTCAACAGTAATAATTTATTTTCCTTTCCTCGTAGGATTGATTTCTTTATCCCAGGAGTCTCTGTGGTTGGTGGGTTCTCAATATGCTCCAGCCCCCGGCTGTTAGAACAGGAGAGAGTAATAGAATTGGCAGTGAAATATACGAACCACCCTCCTGCTGTCTGGATTCACAAGCAGGTGAGCAGATCTCTGTTTAAACCTGCAGATTAGGGCATCTCTGCCTCCCACAGTTTGTGTTCAGCTCACTTAATCTAAGAAACTAGACTTGTGTGAGGAGGGTACATGCTCACAAAGAGCTCCTTTGCATCCTGAATTCAGGCTCCAAAATTCCAAAGGAGCAGAGTCTTTTTGGTGCATTAAATATGACTCGAAGATACTTTGGGATCTGGAAATATCTTCTGAGACGCCAAACAGTGTTTAGTTGAATACTACCATAGGAGTAAAGCATTTTGCTTTATATGTAAGGTTGTGAAAATTGGCTCTTTGTATGTCTTGTAAAATTTAAATCTACACATCACATTATTTTGTCCTAATAATCCTAAATAAAAGGGAATTAAACTACCATTCTGTCATCATTTGGAGGGAACATGTCCCTGATCACATACTGCTCAGGCCAGAGCTGAGCACGCTAAATCTGTGGGGTCAGTTCCTCTCCATGGCAGGCTCTAGAGGGCTCGTCACATGGGGTTCTGAGAGGGAATCCATGTTGGCTGCTAATAACTCGTGCTTCCTCACGGGGCTCAAACACAGCCTGCATAAGCGGCATGCTCATTCCCTGCTAGAAGTCTGATAACAAGAAGGGGCTCAAGCAGGTCAGTTATTAGTCGTCTTAGGTTTTGAACCTTGTGTTTTTTTCACTGCCATCACCTTCACTTCTCAAGTGTGCCGACTTTATTTACCAACAACCCATCCCATCCCAGGCATTCTCTTAATCCCCTTTACCAAAAAGGTGTACCAGTACAGATATTGTATATATTTTTATAATTTATATCAAGGGGCAAAGGAACTTGAATAAAACAGTTTTGAAAAAGACAACTAACATGGGAGGAGTCATATTACTCAAATTTAAGATTAAATAAAGCTACAGTAATCAAAACAGTGTGGTATTGCCATAGGGATAGACACAGCTCAGTGGAACAGAATAAAAAGTTCAGAAATAGAATCATATACATATGGCCACTTAGTTTTTTTCATTGATTTTTATTTTTAGAGAGAGTAGAAGGGAGGGGGCAGAGAGAGAGAAACATCAATGTAAGAGACACATCAGTTGGTTGCCTCCCACACGTGCCCCCATCAGGACTGAGAATCGAACCTGCAACCCAGGTACATACCCTTGATTGGGAATGAAACACACAACTTGTTGGTGGATGGCCTAACACTCTAACCCAGGGGTGGGCAAACTTTTTGACTCGAGGGCCACAATGGGGTCTTAAACTGGACCGGAGGGCCGGAACAAAAGCATGGATGGAGTGTTTGTGTGAACTAATATAAATTCAAAGTAAACATCATTACATAAAAGGGTACGGTCTTTTATTTCAATAGTTTTATTCATTTCAAATGGGCCGGATCCGGCCCGCGGGCCGTAGTTTGCTCACGGCTGCTCTAACCACTGAGAAAATTGTCACTTGATTTTTGACAAAGGTGTTAAAGAAATTCAATGGAGAAAGGATAATCTTTTCAACAAATAGTGTTGGAACAATTGCCTATCCATACCCAAAAAAAGAACCTCTCATACTTTTTATTCAATTTATTAAATTAAAATAGGTTATAGATCTAAGTATAAAACATGAAACTATATGTTTTAGAAGAAAGCATAGGAAATATTCAAAACTTGAGGGCGGGCAAAGCTTTCTTAGACATGACACCAAAAAAGCAAGATCTATAAAAGTTTGATAGACTTAATTAAAATTTAAAACTTTTTAATGCAGAAGACACTATTTACAATTTTTTACAAATAAGCTGAAAACTTGGAGAAAGTGTTTGCATTTTAGATATCCAGCAAAGGACTTGTATCCAGAATTTATAAAGAACTCTCAAAAATCAGCCAAAACAACAAGCATAATTTAAGAATGGTCAAAGGATTGAAGAGACACTTTATTAAAAAGGATATAAGGATGGCAAATAAGCAGTGAAAAGATGCTTAACATCTCTAAACATTAATTATTAGGGAAATGGGGAGTAAAACCATAGTAGTGGGATATCTCTTCAGACCTATTAGAATGACTCAAATGGAAAATATTGATAATGCCAAGTGCTGACAAGGTTGTGGAGCAACTGTAACTATTATATTGCTAACAGGAATGCAAAGTTCTATAGCCATTCTGGAAAGCATTTTGGCATTTTTGTGTGAAATTAAATACACACAAAAAGAGGGCCCAGCAATACCAATACTAGAGAGATAAAGGCTCTGTTCATATTAAAGCCTGTACATGAATGTTTATAGCAGTTCTGTTCATAATTGTCACCAACTGGAAACACCCCCAATGACCCACAGTAGGTGAGTGGATAAGCACACTGTGATGCTGTATTGTTATTCAGCAGGAAAGGCAGAGGAACTGTTTATTGATGGCACACAGCAACGTGGGTGAATCTCAGAGGCATTGTGGTCAGTGAAAGAAGCCAGTCTCAAAGATTATGTACTGTATAATCCCATTTATGTCACATTCTGGAAAACAAAAATACAATGACGGAAAACAGATCAGTAGTTGACAAGAGTGAGGGGTGGGGAAAGGGGTGAGCATAAAAGGATAGCATAAGGGAGTGTTTTGAGCTTGGAACTGTTTTAGATCTTGATTCTGGTGGTAGTTACACAGTTCTGTGTATGTATTAAAATTCATAGAACTGTGCACCCCCAAAAATTTCCCTGTAAAATAATTTAAACAATAAAGATTTTTAAATCTGTGGGGGCATAAAAGTATATGGCCTTCCTATGGTTTACATGTCCAGTTGTCTGTTCAGAATAACCCCTAGCTGCTTGCCTTAGCATTTCCATCGTAAACGTATCCTGCCACATTTGTCCTCTGTCCTGAGTCCTCCCTTCGGTGTGACCTCAGCTGCATCATTCCTTTTTAGATTCTCTATCCATTATTGTCTCTAGGCGACATCCTGAGTTTCTATAATACGCTGCAGGGATGGGGCCAGCAAGTTGTTCACGTGCCCCACACTCACCGTTAAAATGAGCCCAGCCATCCCAGCTCCTAGTGCCAGGAGCCCCTCCGGTTGTCAGCCTCCCACGTGACCTGACCTGGTCCTGGTCCATAACTCCCCGCTTGGTTTCATGCCTCATTGGCATTTCAATGAAGAAACTTATTCTTAGAGGCTATAGAAAATCTCCGAGTGGCATTGCTTGAATGCACATCCTAATTGTAGTGCTTGTTCCACTCTGCCCAGTGGGAGCTGCAAACGGCCTTTATGAAGTCAGATTTTTCTTGGAACCAATCTCAGGTGCCTATATCCCTCCTGAGAATTTGTCTTATTAAGCTATTCAAGTGGACAATGGAGGCACGTGAGTGTCTGGGTGGCAGCAGGCTGCTCTGTTGGGACATGGAATAAAGTGCCATAAATGTCTTCCTTTATTTTATCTGTTTTGGCTCAAACTCCTGGCAGGGTAAAGGGTTCTAGACAGCTATTGTGTGTCTGCTCCCGTAGCTGTGGAAGAGTTGTTTGTTTCACAAGTAGAAAATCTATACCCAGATTAGATACATTGCTATGTAATTGAAGGTAATATCCTTGTACTCACTTCCATATTGTGCTGCACAGACTGCGAGTCTTGTGCTCATGCTACCCTGGCAGTTTTTATTGATCAACAAAAGACAAAGATGCCTTTGATTCTTTCCAGATGCTAGCAAATTAGAAGATAGATCGCCTGAAGATTATTTTGTCGCTAAAGAGACAAAGTCTTCTTGAGTATTATCTTTCCCTGGGGCTTGGTTTCTTGGCAACTTTAGGGTTGAAAATACTGTGGTTTCTAAAAACAATAACCTGAAGGCGTTGTTTGTTGTCATCACTAAGCATGCTGGAGATGACCACAGGAGAAGTCATTTCTTAGTCTCTTTTACTCTTAGAGTCTTAGAGATAAAGAGATAAACAAGGCAAGCAAGAGGGGGAAGCTCGGTGCAGAGAGATTAAATTCATTGTCATTGTTAGGCAGAGACTCTTGTATCATAAATTCTGTTTTCAAGACTTGAAAGGAAGGAGTATTTTAAAGCACTTTGGTAGCCAGTCTAGTGACTTACATTTTAGTTACTACTTACAGAATGCCCCCTTGCTGCTAATTCCTTTTGTCAAAAATGGAAACCACTTATCGTACTTATGTAAAACTCTCCTATGTATTTAAAATAGTTCAAGTGGGTTTTCTTTTTCCCTTAGAGAAAGAATTTCCGTTCATTTAACACTTCTTTACCAAGGGACCTTCTTTGTGAAATTCAAATAATTTTTCATTTTTTCTTAGATTTTCTCTTAAGATTTTTTTCTGTAACTTGTGGAGCCCCAAATTAAATGGATGTCAAAAAGGATTGCCTGTCATGCATGGTGCCAAGGTGTGAGTGCTCAAGGTTTGGTCTTCAAAAAGCATGTGGTACATTATTACTTCTGAGGAGGGAGTTCATTTAGTTGATTTATGTCAGGAGCATGTAATGGAACACACCTATTCTCTCAATACAAATTTCTTAGTTTTAGGTTCTGTTTCTTAGTGACAGGAAAGAAGGAAGCTGGCACCCCCGTGCTTTTTCTCAGCCACAGTGACCCAAGCATCCTCTTCTGTGGAGCTTAATTCCAACAGGGAGTGTCCCCAGTGTGTCATGTAATGCCCCCCACAGCCCTGAGGGTGAGCAGGCCCACTGCTGGGACCCATTTTCCAGATGCGGCTCAGAGAAGTAAAGGGACTGGCTGGGTTGCATAGGGGCAGTGATTGAGTCTTCTAACTCCTAGGTTACTGCGTTTCCCCCTAAACTAGGTGTTCTCAACCCTGTCATGTCCAATGGCCCCTTTCTAGAACTACCCTGAAATGAAATCCAAAGCTAATGTAGTTAACATAATTTTTTAACATACTTCTCCAAGTGTGATACAAAGGAGAAATAAAGGAAAGTGATTAATAACCAGATACTTTATTTCAGTATGTAAATGCTTGGGCGTATTAGAGCTAAGAGATAGAATGAAGTTGTCAGACAGCTGTCCCTCAATGTAGAATCACATGAATACACTGTCTGCAAGTGCAAGTGTGCAGGTTGTATGTTGACAGGACCGCACACATGTTACCAACTGTGAAGCAGTTTTCCAGAAAAGTGAATGAACATACTTAGTAATGGTCTGCACACAACAAAATACAGTCTACATAGTGGTTAGATTCTCAAACTCAGACTATGTTAGATCTGTGCGAAAAATAAAAATCTTCTAGTTTTTTTTTTTTTTTTTTGGTAGAACGAGTTAGAGTCTAGTCTCAGGTCATTAGAAACCCGTTTTCACCTATGCATGCATGGCCCACGGGCCATTCAGAAGTCTGGCAGGCAGTCCTGTGCATTGCAGGTAATGGTGTGCTACTAAACCGACATTCTGAGTAAGAAAGCTCTGGTTTGTAGCCTTTGCTGATTTCTGTGCTGTAAACACTCCCACAGTGGCTGATCTCAAACTAGCAGTAGGTACTTGCTCACAGAATTCCTGCACATTCTACCCTCGGCTTAGGAGGAGCCAGTGCCAGAACACGGCTAACTGCACAGGACATAGCACCTCTCACCCTGCCCCTAAGTGCCAGTTGTGTTCTCCAAATCATTGTGACAATAAAGAAATGTCACTACAGGTCTCCAAAACACCCTCCTCAGAGCAGTCTCGCCTCTGGAGAACCAGGGCATTCAGCTCTGAGTCTGGTGTGACTTCACAGAGCAGTAGGTGCTTTATATGCGTGTGTGTGGGTGTGGGGGGGTGGTACTCACTCTATGGTGTGAAGCCTCAGGCTTCCTGTTCGCACTGCTCCAGGGAGAAAGGGACAGTCTGAACAGTACTACAGTGGTGGCCACTGGCCTCAGTCTGTGGAGCAGGCCTGGCTGTGCCCTGCTGGCAACTAGAAGGAAGCCCCCAGTGCCCACACTTCTCAGCGCCAGTGAGTCCAGGGCAGCCACAGTCAGTGACACTTGCCCATACAGCCTCTCGGCTCCATGGCTTTGATCAGAACAGGAGTGCCACTCAGAAAAGGAAACTCATGCTTCAGAGGTGTCCCTGTGCCTCTTCACAACCCAGGCCCTCACCTACTTAGTTAACAAATGGCAGAGTTATTCAAGCGAATCCAGCTGTGAGTACGGGCCCCACAGGCAGAGGAGCAAATTGCCTGTGTCATGGGCAAATGGAATCAACTCACGGGGCCCTGGGACACTTGAGAGCAAGCTGGAAAAATAGTCCTAAATACAGATAGACACGCCGGAGGTAGACACAGTTCCCTAGGGAAGAACGTTTGGTGTTAGACCTGTGCTAAGGCCTCAGGATCTTTCCTTTCCTGCCTAGTGCGCACCTGACTCTGAAGTGGCCGTGAGAGTGGGTGGAGAGTTCTTCTTTGACCCTCAGCCTGCGGATGCCTCTAGGAACCTCGTGTTGATCGCAGGAGGAGTCGGGATTAACCCTCTGCTTTCCATCCTGCGGCACGCGGCCGATCTCCACAGAGAATGGGCAAACCAAGGAAGTGGATATGAGATAGGGACAATAAGACTCTTCTACAGCGCAAAAAACACCAGCGAACTCCTGTTTAAGGTAAGGGGAAATGTACGTGCCATCGCTTGCTGGGAGCAGACGTGTCATGGTACTAATTGTCCACGGAACTTGCCTCTCTCAGTTCTGTTTTCTCTGCAGCAGTTCAAACAAAAGGCCTGACAAGTTTATTTTTTAATTTTTTTTTAATCCTCACCCAAGGATATTTTTCCATTGATTTTTAGAGAGAGGGAAAGACAGAGAGAAATATCTGTGTGAGAAAAACACATTGATTGGTTGCCTCCTGCACGAGTCCTAACCGAGGTACTTGCCCTTGACTGGAATTGAACCCGGGACCCTTCGGTCTGCAGGCCGACACTCTATCCACTGAGTCAAACTGGCTAGGGCGGCCTGACAAATCTTAACCTGACCTTCAAATGAGAATCAGCCAACACATCTCACCAGGACAATTACAACCGCTGGTGTTGAGGAGGCTCCCAGGGGCGTGATGGGATAAGGGCAGGTCCGGTGGGCTTGCATTTGGAGGTGGGTGGACAGAAAAGTCGCCATGGACATGGGACTGTAAAGAGTCAGGAGAAGCCCAAGTGGGCTCCTGTGTTACAAGAGGAGGTGGGAAGTGTGTGCTTGGGACCCAGCTGGGTCCATGAAACCCCCATCAGCTGCATCTGTGGAAACTAAGTACATTTGATGGAGAAGGCTTTCACCGGATTGCTTTGCAGCTGCAAGGATGAACAAAAGAACAGTAACAGTTAAAAAGACAGAACTGTGGTCAGTGAAACTGCGGCTTAATTGCCCAGGCTTGAGAAAAAGGAAAAAGAATAAACTCCCGGAGAGTTCGTAATATGCTTGTTAGCATATTCAGATTTCAATTAAAGCCAAATAGCCTCAGTACTCTGAGAGCTCTGGCCTGCTCGGCTGCAAACAATATCTCCGTAAGTAGAGAGCAAGAGCACAGACGTGTGCTGCATGGGAGGCTCGGCTCGGCGTCAGTGGTTGTGCACATCTGTTTTGATTTTTTAAAATTGTAGTGTGACCAAATATGTTTGACATTCCAGAAAAATATCCTCGATTTAGTAAATGAATTTCCTGGGAAGATTGCATGCAGTTTGCATGTTACAAAGCAGACTACACCAATCAGTGCAGAACTCAAGCCATACATCACGGGTGAGTCCCCTAAAGATGTTTTGACTGTCTCCCCGTAGTAAAGTGGTGGACGTGCCAGTTGGTTGAGTGTAGGTGCTTTATTGTTTGGACTTGCTGGCTGGGAATGTCACTACCTGGGGAATAGAGAGGTGATTCATCATGGAAAAATAAGGAGAGATTAAGTTGGATTTATTTATTATATACTGTGTTCCTACGGCCCATATTAAAAATTTATTCTCCACATTTTTTTAGGGGACCTTTGCATCATCACTGTAGTATGCATGCAAAGAATTTATATTCCAGCCTCGGCTGAACCGATGCCATTTGCCATTAATGGTAATTTAAATTACTCGTGGTTTCCCCTGCCTGGAAGGATTTTTCACAAAACAGTTTCTTTACTGCTAAAGGCACTTTTGAATCTCTCCCAAAGAGCAGTAAGTTCACTGCCCGTGTCTGAGAGCGCATTGCGATTGACTTCCCCCTTTACTTGCCATAAGTTTAGGAAACCGGAGATGTACTTTGCTGGGGCCTGGCCCAGGTGCCAGCAGGAGCCATTGTGTGAATGACTCAAGACTGGGCTCACTAAGCTCCAGTTACTGAAAATAAACACTGTTGCTGCATTGTGGTTAGTCCTTCTCCTTTCAATACAAACATGTCTGGCTTAATTTGGTGTTTATTCTGTTTCTTGGTAGAAGGAAGAATAACGGAGAAGGAGATAAGAGAGCACATTTCAAGAGAGACTTTGTTCTACATTTGTGGCCCACCTCCAATGACAGACTTTTTCTCCAAGCAACTAGAAAACAGCCATGTTCCCAAGGAACACATCTGTTTTGAGAAGTGGTGGTAGGGAGCAGGCAAAGGTAGAAGGAGAGGTTTTGGGATTTCCCCGGGACGCGATTCGAGGCGGACGAAGTTACCGCCACTCCATCTTTCCTTAAGGCTGTGGGCAGAGTGACCTGCTGGGGCAGAAAAGAAAAACAGCTGACAAGACTTAAATGATCACCTTTCGGCAAGGACTTCGTTGAACTATTTTTTACTGTATTGACTTTCTTTTATTAGTAACTGTTTGATTATCTCATGATGTACCTTGAATTGATTTCCTTTCCCCTGAGGGAAAAAGAAGACATATACTTACATTTAATCATAAGAAAATGAGGTTTTGTGTGCGAAATGTAGGCTATCTTTAAATTATTTGACAGCAGCCTATATATCTTATATTCAATAAACTTATAATTTAAACACATTCTTAATCCTGTTTCTCTGGAAATCCTTTATACTCAATGTCCTGGTTGACCTTCCCATGGCCCGCAGCCCTGCTTCCTCAGACCATCCAAGCCGGGTTTGGAAACAGAATATTGTTAGGGAAACTGCTTTAAGGAATTGAATAGCCAGCAGATTTGCTTAATGTGAATGAATATCCGAAGTGTGTATCCGACTGATTGTTAGTTTCTTCTCAAATGAAACCCTTTCTGTGTTCAGTGTCCTGGCTGCCCGCCTTAGCGCCGCGTGTAGAGGCAGCTTCTTGCTGGGACGAAGGCCTTGGGGACCGCTGTGTTCCATGTGGAATCTGCCTTCGTTGGCCGGGCTGGCTGGCTATAGTCATGTGCTTAGGGTTGATTAGGGGGTATAGAGCCGTTTCCAAATCCCGCTTCTCTGCCTTTTATTTCATCCCTTTGCCAGGGCCGTCTCTGGAAGCAGCAGCTCCTCAACACATACTTGTTGAGTGACTGAAAGAAGCAGCTCACCTCTGACTTCTCACTAAGCCCAGGTGGGGAGGCAGTCCCAGAACGGGGAGAGGGAGAGGGAATGGCGCAGCCTCGTTCCAAGGCTGCCCTGGTGAAACTGCTAGAAAGCAGACTGTGGTTCTTATCCTTGTTTAGATTTTTTAAAATCCAAAAGAAATCCATGGGCCGGGGCCAGGCCACCCTTTTGAGACAAGCAGTCTGGGGCGAAGGCTGCCTGCTGGGAGAGCGCTGAGGACACAGTCTGGGAAGGACACTCAGTACGGGAAACCCAGGAGCTGCAGCCGAGAGAGTCCGTGCCTGAGCTGATGGAAAGCAGGTGTCCTCTCATCTCTGGCTGCAGCCTCCTAGGGACCGAGGGCTGAAACAGCCGTGATTTACGGGCTGACGATGGCTGGCATCACCAGTCTAGCCTCCACCCTGTTTTGAATTTTGTCAAGTGTGGTTTTTTTTTTTAATATATTTTATTGATTTTTTACAGAGAGGAAGGGAGAGGGACAGAGAGTCAGAAACATCGATGAGAGAGAAACATCGATCAGCTGCCTCCTGCACACCTCCTACTGGGGATGTGCCCGCAACCAAGGTACATGCCCTTGACTGGAATTGAACCTGGGGCCTTTCAGTCCTCTGGCCGATGCTCTATCCACTGAGCCAAACTGGCTAGGGCGAATTTTGTCAAGTTTTAAGCAGAGATCTTTTGTCAACTACTTCCTTCCCCGCCCCCCCCCCGCCCCCAATTACAGTTGACATTCAATATTATTTTATGTTAGTTTCAGGCATCCAGCACAGTGGTGAGACATTTATATAATATACAAAGTAATCCCTCCAGGCAGTCTAGTACCCACCTGGCACCATGCATGGTTATTACAATATTATTGACTGTATTCCCTGTGCTGCACTTTCTATCCTGTGACTCTTTTGTAACTGCCAATTTGCACTTCTTAATCCCCTCACCCTTTTCCCCCAGCCCCGCTCCCATCTGGCAACCATCAGTTTGTTCTCTGTATTTATGAGTCTGTTTCTGTTTTGTTTGTTCATTTATTTTGTTTTTTAGATTCCACATATAAGTGCAACATATGGTATTTGTCTTTATCTGACTTATTTCATTTAGCATAATACCCTCTAGGTTTAATGCCAGATATGAATTCAGTGGAAGGAGAGGGGCCAGTGACCTGATAGGAATATTAACATCCATCAAGGCAGAGATCGTCGGCATTTCAGAGATGAAGGGAATGTGAGAAGCTCTGGCCACTGTAAGGATTCCTGACGCAGCTAACCCCAAAGTGTCCAGGCCAAGGGCTGGGCTTTAGGGCTGAGTACTTGAGAGCACAGAAGCACAGCACAATGAGATTCAGGGACGTGGGAGCAGCAAGGGGCTTCTTCTGCCAACTGGCAACAGCATCTGGCAGGGAGGAGACGCGAGGTATGGAGAAAATGGCTCCCCAGGCCTTCCTGTGTTGGGAGCGGAGGTGCAGGGTGAGTATCTTCGTGTGGCGTGCGAGGAGTGCCACCCACTGCCTCCGTCCACCCAACACCACAGCCTGTGCGCCTGCTGTTGTCATAGAGCGGGGGCCACCTGTCCTGGAGATCCCCGCTCTGCCCACCAACCTGCCAGTGACTCACAGTCACCATCTGTAAACCGCTGAGTTGGGCCAGGTTGTGACCTTTGCACGAACTGCGGTTCCTTCCAGCTCTGTCATTTCTGGTGCTGAGAGCTGAACAGTATTTCTGGTCGGCTGGCCAACAATGTCCTGTTGCCCTTGCCTATCAGGCCAGTCAAGATCTCTCTGGTACTCACACCGAGCTAACTCTAGCAGGCGTCGTGGAAATTACAGTGTGGTGCCTGGGAATGTAGACTAGAGGGAGTCCTGGAGCCAGACTGCCTGGGTTCAAATCTTAGCTATGCCACTGACTAGGAGATGACCTTGAGCAAGTCACTTAACTGCATCAGCCTGATCCATCCAGTATGAAGTTCTCTACCAACCTTTCACCTAATTATTTTAGTAGCTGTTGATCATTGCCTATATCTACCATTCATTAAGGATTAATTGTCCATTTCTATCATTTTCTTGCATCTATTCCCTGGGATTGTTCTATAAAGAACTTACCCTTATTCACTTTGCCCTGAAATGAGTATGAACAGGAAAGACAAGATCAATGCTTGATTCTCTCTCTTTTTTAAGTCAATTAGCCTACGATGAGTTGGTGCCCTAGCAACCTCCAAAAATAACTAGATTTTTTAAAGTATCATTATGGTATGAATTCATGGCTTTTTTGTTTTGTTTTCATCCCTTTTGTTAATTCAGCTTGTTTCAGGCTTCCTCTACCGTGTTAGTGATCTACACTAAATTGGAGCTGTTGGGGTTTGCGCCTCTTAGAGTTGCAAAAGGTGCTCTAATAAGCAGGAAGGAGGAAAAGAAGCTGCGGGTGGGTGAGGCAGCCACATGAAGGAAGTGTGTCAAGGAAGAATGGTCAGCCGTGACACACTGCAGATGTGACAGGGAGATGAGTTCTGATGAGTTTGGTTTAGCAACTTGGAAGGTCATTGGTAATCTTGACAAGGTGGAGATCGAGAGTGAAAACATTGGGGTGGCTTTAAGAAGAACTGGGAGGAAATAAATGGTAATGAGTGAATATAGGTTATAGTTTCAAATAATTTTACTGTGAAGGGAAGGAAAAAAATGGGATGGTAGGTAGAAAAAGAAGTGTTAAAAACTCCATTTTTTAAATTCATTTTTAAAATTTTGTTTTTAAAGCTATTTTTGAAATAACTTTAGGTTTATAGAAGGCTTGCAAAGAGAGAACAGGGCTCCCACCCATATACCCTTCACCCAGCTTTCTTAAATGTCAATCAATATCTTACGTAACCCTGATATATTTATGAAAACTAAGAAATGAACAGTACAGTTAAAATTGATGCAATACTATGAACTGAACCAGTTTTGTTTTGTTTTTGTTTTTTTTTAAAGACGAGAGAGGTAATCAACTGTATGAAAAACTATGAAAGAGGCATTCAGTGAGACTCCGGTTGGGGAGGAGAGGACTTCGGCTGGAGGATGATAAACCTATGAACGGTCGTTTATCGAGCATCCGTGATGCGCAGTCACTGTGCTAGAAATTGAAGGTAGGAAAGGATAAGACAAAGGTTATCTCGAGGAGCAAGTTAAATACTTTGGGGAACTATTTTTTCCTGAAGCTGCAAAGTGATAAAAGCTATCTTCTACGAAGAAGTATATTGAATACTGAGAACATTTCAACACAATTGAAAGTAAAAAACACTCTGGGGAAAATACGTAGTTTTGCAATGATCACTGGTTGAAAGGGAAGCTGAGGAAGATGGATGTCTGGGCGAGCCATTGAGTGCTGGCGGCCTACGAGCCGCAGGTGGGAGGGGCGGTGGGAAAGGCTGTTCTCGTGCTCTGGAGACAGTGCTTGGGAGATTTATTCTGGGATACACAGCTGCAGGTGTGTATCCATGCGTGTGTGTAAGTACTTATATGTGTGTGCATGCAGTGATTGTCATTGGTACCCAATGCCATCGGCCTCTGCCTGAGGGTTTTTTTTTTTTTTATTTATTTCTCTTTTTGAATGGAAAACAGCAATTTCCTTTATTCCTGGATACTGCAGATGATCATATGCTGATAATTTAACCCGAGAGCTGTTATTTCATTTTATTTTAAATGAAACTCAAAGGAGTAGACTGTTCTCATCTTAGAGAAATAGTGAGATTATTACTCTTTCCTAATATGCGCATACGCAGCGAGTGTGATGATGCCATATAAAGATACCTCCTAACCCGCTGTCAAATCAAGGCATGCATTTTAAAGCAGTTTGTGCTCAGGAACGCAGACTTTCCTAGTTGTGGAGAGACATCTTGATCAGTCTGTTCTGAATTACTATAAGCCCTGCCGGTGCCCATTAGCCTAACCTGGTCTCTTTCATCTCATCCCCAAGTCCCATATTGCTGTGCTTGAGCCCGCCAAAATTTTGTTGTCCCTTTGTTCTTTTTCAATGGCCTGATAAATAGGATTGTAAAAAATCAAATAATCTAAAAGCACGTACACTAAATGCTGAAATCCTCCGTTCCTCCGCCCCACTCCCTCACCTAGGATGAACTTCTGTATAAAGAGCTTGCTAGGTATCCTTTTACACCAGGGGTGGAGATTGTCCCGTGGGCCGTATGAGGCCCGTGAAATCATTTGGTCTGGCCCTGCCAAGACATTAGGGCTGAGTTAATTAAATGTTTGACCAAATATAGCAGGCTAATTTTTAAGCTGATAATTTTGTATGGCCTATGAATGATGTTATAAATATCCAAATGGCCTTGGCAGAAAAAGGTTAGACATTTTACATTGTATTGATCTTGTACACATTGGACAGGTATGTGTGCTTGTGGACTTTACTCTTTTAACTCTCCAAATAATGTACCAGCATGCACTTAACCACTTTTCTGTGATGGACATTTAGATTGTTCCTAGTTTGGGGATATTACAAACAGTATTGCAGCA